AAAAAAAAAAGCCGAAAAAAAAAAAAAACAAAAGGCATCAACTGACAAATGGAATGAAAAAGCACATAACAGTTTCAAAGTTCAAACTCTTTTCTCTTCTCGAGTTAAGCAATCATGTGTCTAACAAATAGTACAAATACAACCGGCCAATCAAAGTCAAAACCACACAGAACATACACAGAAAACTCACAGAACATACACAAAATATTCACAGAAGATACACAGAAGATTCACAGAACATACACACGGAACATACATACGGAACATACACAGAACATACACAGAACATACACAGAACATTCACAGAACATACACAGAACATACACACGGAACCTACACAGAAATGACGACTACTTCTCAATGACTCGATCCCAAGCCAAACCAAGTGCAAAAGGAAGCGGGCACACGGTAATCACCATTGCCCTCATCTCACAAGACACAACGTACCTGCCTGCCAATTCTCAGAGCAAACGCCAACATCGTTACAAATATACTTCTAAAAGGCCCAACTCAACTACACTCATACTGCCATCATACTCGACACCATAGCTATGGATGATCAATGTCCACATAAAATGCACTATTATTGTGCCATCAGGGCCCATAACAGTAATCATAGCCCCTCTTATCATTTAATAATAATGTGTTCACAATCATCCACATGGCGTGCATGAAGTTTCTCAAAGAAAAGACTCAGGTCACCAGATAGAGCTGCACAGACACTTTTCTCAACAACAATGATCACTGCTGACAAAGAATACGATAAGGATAAGGATAGGATAGGATAGGATAAGGATTAGGATAAGGATAGGACATGGATAGGACAAGGATAGGACAAGGATAGGACAAGGATAAGGAGAGGATAGGGATAGGATAAGGATAGGACAGATAAGGATAAGGATAAGGATAAGGATAAGGATAGAATAGGAAGTGATAGGATAGAGTAGGATGGGATAGGATGGGGATAGGGCAAAGGAAGTGAGGGCATAGAGTAGGATAGGATAGGATAGGATAGGATAGGATAGGATAGGAGGGGAGAGAGGCAAACTGCAACAGCCAAGCCTGAAATCACTGAGATGCTGCATCTGCAGGCAGATAGCCTACTTGACACCGAAGCACAGATGGTATGCTGAGACCGCCACTTACGTTATTCCATCCCAGACCTGCACTTCATTTCCAGCCGAGATGGTGATGTACCGCCCATCCCGAGATACTTCTACGCTGGTTACAGGGCTCCTTGTCGACAAAATGCGCACAACCGATTTCGACCTCACATCCCAAACTCTGGAAGGCAGCACAAAGCGAGAGCACACATCAACCAGATTTTGTTAAGCAAAACGTTATGGATAAAACCAATCCTCGCAAACAGACCAACTGCTTCATATATCCAATCATAAATGTCCACATGATTGCTCTTGGACGCCTGAGAATAATACATTGTTAATCTCTCTCTCTCTCTCTCTCTCTCTCTCACACACACACACACACACACACACACACACACACACACACACACACACACACACAACACGCACACACACAACACGCACACATACAACAAGAGCGCGCACACACCCACAGAGACACAAATGCTACAATATGCACAACATGCACACGAACAAACAAACACACACACGCAGAGACACACAAATGTTACGATAGTTTGAAGGCACTAGAACGTCAAAAAACACCGCACGCACCTCACTCCTGTTTTGTCTGATAAGGCACTCAAAATGACATTGTCGTCACTGTGCCAAACTCCAACTCGGATTGACGCTTCCGATCCGCACAATGTCATAGGTTCTGAACACGGCTGCTGCAGGTCAAATATTCTGATGACCTTTTCCGGACCTCCTGTCAAGATGCGCTTTCCACTCTGCGGAAACCGACAATGTCACATTTCGGCCCGGAAAGTTAACGATTGCAATCACTGAACCAACAATAGCAAGTTAATAAATTACCATATAACAATTGGGGGCAACACATTGTAAACTCCATTCCATCTCTCAAACATCGTTTCAATTCTATCACAAGAGATGGCGCTACATATAAAGGCCATGCTAAACCAAGCGCCGGGACTTGACACTACCACAATTCGTGACATGTTTTGTGTGTTTAAACAACCACCGGTACCTTTTATGCTTGAAAATCAATTCCGCGCCGGGTAACCTGGAAGCCAAGCGGGGTCGGGGTGCCGTTGATAAATTGAATCGGCGGGGCCCGTTCTCCGTATTGGCCTTTTTTTTTCCCGCCCGCGGCCGAGATATGGGAAAGGTACTGGTGGTCTAAATCTGGAACGTGAACATACATATTGAATCAACACTTCCTATTAATTGCCTTCTGAGTCTCTGAGAAGTATTACCTGTGTTCAAGTTACGCCAGATTGGAATTAGTATCTCGGAAGACGCAATCGGCACGGTGGAAGATGACATCTCATTCATTTCGTTGTTGAACAACTGCATGGGTAACACAGCCACGTTTGAACATAAAATTGTTGAACGACTCATTAATTGCCTTCTGGTGACTGTAAGAGCAGGAGGAGGGGGACAGGAGGTGCGGGCAAAATGATACATACCTTGGAGTAGTCGATTGTCCTAACTATGTGCTTGTGCTCAAAGGAATGGAGTTCGTCGCCAGTCATAGCATCCCAAACGCGTCTGGAACATACAGAACGGCAATGACACAAAATAAACGAGTACAATAAGAAGAAAATCGTGTCAAACATTGATGAAAAAGAGAGGGAGAGAGGGAGAGAGGGAGAGAGAGAGAGAGAGACGAAAAACTCAATTCCTCACAAATTTTGAGCATCCTCAAGGAAGAGATATGAGATCAGCGTTCAAAAATACAAGGGTACAACTTACAAGAGCAAGAGGCACAGGAGCAGGTAGTTGGGCATCACACACAGAACGCACATGGCCCAGTTAGTGGCATCCAACCCTTAACCTCCGATAGGTCACTGAGTTCCCAAGTCAAAGTCGAAGTTACACCAGTCGGCCTCAGATGGATGCTAAGGCTTGCTTAGCACTTTCTCGGAGTCATCCTGGCTTTGACTGCTCTCTCTCTCTCTCTCTCTCTCTCTCTCTCTCTCTCTCTCTCTCTCTCTCTCTCTCTCTCTCTCTCTCTC